TTTTTTTTTTTTTTAATCTTTCATATGCACTTAGCTTCTTTTTCTTTGGGCTAATTATGAGACTCTGTTTTCCCTTCTAGGTGCTGAGTGTGGAGTTAGATCTTTGGCTCTGGTCTGTTGGTGTCCAATGTCCGTCTCTCCAACACCATAGAACACTATCAATATATTACTAGGTAGGTCACAACTAGTCAAATGTTCAAGGTAACTTCTTAGGATAAGTAGCCATCAGTCTATAAGATCCTTTTTTGTTTGCTTTCAAGGATCACAACTCTTAAAAGTTTGGGCAGTACATCTCTCTACTAATTTAACATTGAGTTATTTTATTTACATGAACTGAAAGATCTCATGATTATGAATTTATTTGCTAAATGATATTTATTTCTCCAGAAATTGTCTCTCCATCTTGTAATTCTACTTCTGTAAGGGTTCATCAACAATTCAATATTTTACAACATATTCATGAATCATGATTGTGTAATGGTGTTGGCTAAACATTCTATTGGAATTCTTGCAACATACAGAACTTTATTTTTAGGAGAAGGTTTTGATTTATAGTTTCAAGATATTGTGTTTACCTTAGAGGTGGATGTTGTTTAAATACACCACTGTTTTTCCATCTAATGGTCATTTTGACATGACTAAAGCCTGCTAGGGATATAAAATGTAAGTCTTCTTCTATGTGGCTTTGCTGAAGTTACATTGAGGCAGCTGGGTTCTTTGTGGTGGGCAGATTACCATCATAAGTGCATCTCAGAACATCTGGTTTTCTCACTAGACGAGGCCCAACAGGCACCTTTCCAATCTTAGGACGAATATCCTGTACATGTTAAAGTACAGTTAAAACATTATAGGATTCATTTTTTCATTGAGAGTTTGCAGACTTTGAGAATTCATTAGTTTCAGAGTAGCATGTTTTACTGTCACAGAAGAAAAATGTGGGAAATGATTCTACTATTATCTGATTAGTGGTTAGGACGGCAGCAGAAAAATGTTTAGAAGATGGAATGGAAAAGAACAAGTAGTGCTGTCTGTTGTCTGACATGTGAGTGTTAGATATCCAGAGAAATGGTACCTGGTCAAAAATAGCAGTTGGGATTGCAAGTGTTGCAAGAGCATTGGGAGAATCAACTATTCCAGAGATCCTTCCTTCACATGGGCAGCAAGATAGCAGAAGGTAAACCTGATAGTCAACATGTAATACAAATGCTGGTCAATTCTTTACATCTAAGGATAGTGTTTTGTGTGAGTTCTATTTGTGCAAATATGAGGGAAGAGACCTGTTCTTTTGAGTATCCAAATTTTGAGAGGTAGTCAATTGCATTAAGTACTGCACGTTTGTAAGCAACACTTGCATCCAGGTAATGTTGCCTTCCACTCTCATCAACACTTATTCCTTCAAACACCAACCATTCTGAGAATCTAGGCTCAACTGGACCTATCTCAAATATTGGATTTACATGAAGAGGAGTCGGCCCCATTGGAGTAAGGTACTCTTTCATCCCACCCCTTATAATTTCACATCTAAAAACAGAACAATGGGTCCAGTGTAAGTCGTGAACAAATAAGCTGTAAAAGATGAAATCTTATTTAACGACAAGGTTGAATTTATCATATTATTATCTTCATGCAAGATTTTAACTGTTTAGATTTTTTTTTTTTTTTTGTAAGATATGTGGTATGTAGATCATACTTGAGCTCTAGAAAGCCACTCATTTCAATTGCCCCGCAGAAGGCGATTTCACCATCACCTTGGGAAAAGTGCATATCACCAGTGCTAAAATTTGCTCCCTCAACAAACACAGGAAGGTATATCTTCGAACCCCTACTCAGATTTTTGATGTCACAATTTCCTCCGTTTTCTCTTCCTGGAATGGTCCTTGCAGCTTCCTTGGCAATTGTTTCCCATCCAGCAGTGCCTACTGGTATCTACACATGGCCAATACATGTTACAATCAATTACTGTCTACCGTTCAACCTCATATCCATTTGAATTGCATTACAACTTCATATGCATACACTTTATGATCTTGTGGCTAGAAATTTACATCTAAAAGTTGATATGCACGGTAAGTTAGTATCAATAGTAGTGACATTTTTGAACCAGCTGCAAGTTGTTTCGATAAAGCATTTGGCAGTGAGGATAAATTATAATAATGTTTGGATTTAACAGCCTTCATGCATAGATATTCATTACCTTCCCTAAGAGGCATCCTTTGGTAGTTGGTAAGTTTGCCAGTGGTCGAGAATGCAAAACCTCACATAGTTTTAGAGTCTGATGACCATTTTTTTCAAGTTCTCTTTCCCTTTCATTCCATATGTTTAGGAGTTCCATTGATGGAGCAGTCCCAATTATTCCAGGGTGAGTCAAACCTGGAAATCTTACCCCTGACATGCATATAAATATTCTGAGTCAATCTGGATTTCCACTCTTCGATTAGAACTATAGAAGCATTAGGGGAATACCTTTAAGAGTCTTTTGGTAAAAGAACAGTCATTGATTTGACCTAGGCAGAAGATAGAAAACTCACCTGGTATGTGAGGAGAGTAGGCAAAAATTCCTTCAAAATACCAAATAGCTTTGGTTGCACTAGGGAAATGGTCTGTCAAAAAACCACCTCCATTTTCCCTATCAAAGGATGCTGTAAAACCCCATTCATCTCCTGGTAGAGGACCTAAGTTGCAGATTTCAACTACAAGAAGGTCGCCTGGCTTGGCTGGTATGCCATCCTTATCTAGGACCCTTATTGGACCACTTAGATAATGTACCTGCACCACAAGTTAGGTTATAATAAACTAGAGTCTAACTTGATCCTGTTCACCGTTCCCTGACTAGTTAGCAGGCATGATAGAGAGGAACCAAAGTTGTAGTTAGCAAAACTTTTTTGATCTATGGTCTGGAATAATTCTCCTCAGTACTTTATAAGGTGATTCTTTCCTTTATGTTACATGATGGAAGTTTTTACTTGACAGCATGTAGGATAGAAATAATACTTACAGGGGAAAGGTCTATAAATTTTATATCAATTGCACAATCATCATCTTTCACAGCACCTCCAGTCCAATCTACCATCTCTACTCTAAAGACCTCACCGACTTTAACATCTGCAACTGGTGGTATTTGGGGGTGCCAACGGTTGTGAAGGGGTTGATTTTGCTCCCATGGTTTCTTCTTCAAGTCTATCGGGATCACTAGTCTAGGAGTTGTGGGAGCCATGGATTAACCGGTTAGATAAACAGGAAGATCAGGGATTTTGTTCTAGACTTATCAATCTTGCCAATTTGGAGGAGAAAGGAGGATCACTCATTAAACTTCACAGTTGACTTCTACAGTGGGTACATGACAAATAGGGATGTCATTTTTTCTTCAGTGGTCCCCAATTTTTGTTTCTGTCCTAAAGGACAAAGGCAACAGGGTTCACTGCATTGAGCATGAATGTGCAACAGGGAACTTTGTTTAGAAAAACAACTAAAATCGCTAATTAAGAATAGAAATTACCCACTTAAAAGCTATCGAGAAATTGTTCAGGATGGAATCTTAACATATATTAAAGAATCTTGTCAGCATCCAGGAACATGGGAAATTAGTAGCAGCAAGCTGCATGCTTTTAGGAAATTTAGACTAAATTAATGGAACTGCAGAGGTGGAGATTAGAGAAGGGATGCATGCAACAGGGAATAAAAAACGCGTAGATCAATCAGGAAGATACAAAAATACATGGTTTATTGCATTTAAACACCTGTAGGTGCTTGATATGTAGTTGGAAAACAGAAAATTAGAAGAAACAAAACATACTAGAACTCACAATTGATGGATCAGCATGCTTGATATCTTCTGCAGAATAGTCCTGCGTGATTCTACCTCCACTGAAATCCACCATTTCGACTCTGAAAAGCTCTCCAACTTCCACCTCTGCAACCGGTGGTATGTCGGGGTGCCACCGGTTGTGAAGTGGATGTTTCTGTTCCCATGGCTTCTTCGTCAAGTCTATGGGCACTACCACCTTTACACCATACTGAGCCATAGATCAGGCCAGATTTCTAGTCTTTGTTTAGCATAGAAGGGAAGTTAGGTATGCTAATAATGGAGAGATTCATTAGAGTTGTTGCTGACGTCCTTTAACCTTCATTTTCATGTGGAAATTTGACAGCCATGAAAGGCACCATTAGGTTATTCTTTTTCTTTAATGGCTGGACCACTAAGAATTGATTGAGTTGAGACTTTTGGTACATTTTCTTTAGATGATTTTAGAGCAAAACCACTTTGGTCTCGAGGGCAATCTTTACTGATTATGCCAAATCCGAACCTATCATCAAAGCTTGTGCTCAAGATACAAAGAAAAGAGAACCACTCATTAAGGAATGATGCCTGTACTTGCTTTGTGGACCTTGATCTCATCATCCGAGAGTGACCTTGAGTGGTGTCTGATTTAGTTCAAATCTCGTACATTAGACGAAACCACCTGTTACTTCCAACTTCTGAACTAGATATCCCACTCTGATTTAGCAGACTATACTTAGAATTAACCAAACAGCTGGAGTTGGTTGCTTATTATATCATCATTCTGGGTTAGAAATAAGCTTCAAAGCTAATCCAAATTTCCTTCTCATACGACCCCACAAATCGGAATCTTAGAGATATTGCCTGCGTTTCATAATGATTTGTGTACTAGTTGCTTTCTTCTGTTTTCTTTAGGGTAATGGTCCCAACAACTATTCCGGATTTAAGGACTGAATTAAATTGCCTGATTGCAGATGAAATGTAAGCATCACTGACATGATTCTAGTCTAATTACAGTGAAATATAGGAATTCTGCTGTCTGTGTTAACCTGCTATTATCAGCATTTTTATGCAGATTGGGAGGGTTCATTTATCATCAATCTGAACCTACATCTTTATTTAAGAGTGTTTTATATCAATTTGGCATGATTTTACATGCTGTCTAAATCAGCATAAGTACCATTTTTTTGAAGAAACTTATCCTGTTTTGTTAGGTAAACAAGTGGTGCTTGAGCTGTCCACTGCATTATTGGATCTACTCAATTAACTAATGGAAAAGTGCAGTCTTTCGGACAAAGAGACGGTAAAAGCCTTCATCTCCAACGCCAAAGGTAGTATTAGTATTATTTTTCTGAACCAACATAGAAAACATGGTAACGCGTCTCACTGTCTCTGTTTACAAGATGTATTTTCTATGTTAGATCTGACTTTAGTTTCGATAATAACAATGATTATCTTGTTGATCTACCAATGGTAGCTTTTTTATATGTTAAAAGAGCGAAGATAAAACCATAATCCTGTTCCTGACTAATTAATGATTGAGGAACATAGGCAGTAAAAAACAATGTTTAATGTAAGAAATCATATTCTTTGAGGCAAAGAATCCTACTCACGGAATCTCTTTTCCGATTGCAGAAAAAGAGTGACAGAGAAGAGCGTGGAGTGTACGTATGGAATGGAGGAAAGGGGTGCCCACTGCGCAGTCCCCATGGATGCGGAACTCAATTGGTTAGTCTTCTTTTTCACCAGCACAGCTTAGTATTTAATTATTCTTTGCCCACTAAAAAACACAGCAAAAACGTCCTGGGAACCCTGGGTGCAATTTGCATAGTCGTGAGTGAGGGGTGCAAGTGGGGAGGGTATTGAAAGCTAAATAGGCAAGTAGGATAAGGACGCCACGTCCGCCCAGACCACGACATTTGGGATTGGTCATCTTTCACCCATCACGCGCCGCATCTAAACATATAAATATTTAGATCCTCGATTGTCCAATAAAATTCAGTTCACCATGTATGTCGTCAACCAAATTTAGTTCCCATTTATCCTTCCATCTTGTCCAAAATACCGTATTTGTACGTCTCATAGAGTTACGATTCAAAGCTAAACATACGCAAAAAAGAGACTAGTAAGTCTCGTACAGGGGACTGGAACTGCTGTTTCATAGTTGTGAACTCTTATTGTCTTAACCTTTACTATTATGCCTACCATGCGCTAAGATTTTTAATACATTATTAGACTTAATGTTTGAAATATACACATAAATATAAATATATATACATTTATCTTAAATGATAATTTATACACTAAAAAATAATCTTCCTTTTTTTTGGCCTTTCTTTTACGTCGTCGTAATAATTCCAACTTAGAAATATAGCTAGAGATCATAAGTGGCGTAGACAACAAAATGAGATTTTTTTGGGTGTTTTTTGGACTCTGATGCTCTTCCAACTTTGGTCGTGGGCATGGGTAATTAAAAATGAGAAAGATAAGGTTCTGTAATCGAATTTCTGAGCTGCCAGACACCAACAGGCGAAAGAATAATTGATATGAAGATAAGCCTATCATCTCATCAGTCAAAAATTCTTTAGAAATTATATCAGGCACATAATCATGTTTCCGTATAATTTTGGAATTAAAAATAAAAAAAATTAATTAATTGCTAAGACTAATCCCGATATATATATATCGCCTAAAAGTCCTGCACAGGAGTGAAATTTTTTAAAAAATGTTATTTAAGGGTTAAATTGATTTTTTTTTAATTATTACATAACAATGGCTAGCTTTTTCTTTCTATAATTCCTCTTCAACCTCAATTTGGACTAACAATATTTAATTTAAAGTATTAAGTTTTTACTAGAGGCATCCACGTGTACAAATCCAAAACCAGCATACACACAGTTTTCCTCATTCTTTTTTATTATTATTATTATTATTATTATTAATATCTTAGAATTTTGGAGGAGCGGAGATTGAAATCCAAGTTAGGGATTTGAATGCTGCACCTTTTAACTAGTTAAGTTTATTTTTTTTTGGTTTCCCGCCCGGTATCCGGGTATCTGGGGCTCCGTCCTGACTAATTTAGACCCGACTCACGTCGCGCACCTGAAAATGATGGATAAATCTCCCAACGAAGGTTGCTGTGTATACAAGGACTAAAACTCGAGACCTTATTTAAGTTGGAAAAATCCGTTTACCACTTGATCCAACTCCTCGTTGGTTTCTAACTAGTTAAGTTGACTGTGAGATTGTGTTTTCTATCTATTTTTTAGAATGAGTGTGGACAATCCTAATTTTCTTATTTATCAAATAATTGAGTACTGTAACTTTTGAATTTGATGCATGCAGCATGCAGTTTTTTTTTTTTTAAGTTTTAATAAATAAAGAACATGCCAATAATAAGAGTTTAGTAGTATCCATAAACCTTAAAACCTTGATTTGGAAAGATTAGAGATTTATATAAATATTTGCAATGTCAACAAGTATCTTTCGATATAATTTAAAAAATAGTTGAAAAACATGATAACAAGATCTCAAATTAAGTGGTTAAAGGTTCAGGAGTTGATGAGGCAATCTTATAATTGTGGGCTTGTTCACTCTTGTGTATGTTAATTTTCTTTGATTTGTTTTTCTAATTTATTTATGTGTCCCTTATGTAATCTAGACTATAAAAAAAGATTCTTATAAATAAGGAGACAATCCATAATATTATGAAATATGCCCCCATTCAAAGGTTAATTTAGTGTGCTAGACAGCACTAATTAAACATTTTTATTTATTTATACATTATGTTTACTTGTATTAAGTTGTAATCTACGTAAAAAAATTTAAATTAAAGCATATGAGGTGTCTATGCTTGCTCATTGGTTCCTCTAAGCATATACAAAAATCACAAAACTAAGAAAGTTTCAAAAAAAAAAAAATTGTAGAGGAAAGCATTGCTACCAATTCTCCCCTGCATAATCCAAAAAATTACTTATGAGCAAGAGTCCAGGTAGTGTAGCTAACCCACGAATAAAAAATATCAAAAATTAATTCCACCACTAACAATGGTTAATGTTTCCTAACCTTTGCACAAACCCCTTAATCATTAGTCTCTATGAATACTATTATCTTTTTCCCCACTAGCCCTTTTTTTTAATATCAAGTTATCAACCATCCGAATATTTCCTCCCATACATAATATTGCATATGTTCATGCATCATGTGCCCTCCCATTGCCCTCTGACGCAGCAATTTTGCTTTCTTTTGTATCTTATTTTTCAATTTCACCTTTTAAAATTAAGTTAAATTACATATGTATAAAAAAAAATCTTGAAAATGAAAGATATCATAGAAAGAATCCTACGGTGGAGAGACAACCATCCGCGGAGACACGGAGCCGCTCGCGCCCTAAGTCCTTGGAATCTAACCCCCATCCCAACAAACAGTTCCCCCACCACCACCACCACCACAAACCCCTTCCACCATCAACTTTAACTCAACCGTAGTTAAATCTCCAACCCACCCCTTAAAACCCCTCTGCGGTCTGCATACTGCGTCACTCCCTCCCTCCCCACTTTATAAATCCTTGCACCATTTCCTCCTCAACCTTAATTTCTTCCTCTTCATTTCTCTTTCTGCTGTTATTTTCCTGTTTCTTGACCGCCAAGTAATTGATAATTGTGTTCTCCTTCTAGAAGATTCTGGTTTTTCTTTTCTTTTTCTTTTTTTTTTTTTTCATGTGAGGCTGAGTCTGAGTCTGAACTCTGAAAGGATGAGTTGCAACGGGTGCAGAGTTTTACGAAAGGGATGCAGTGAATCCTGTATTCTTCGTCCCTGCTTGCAGTGGATCGAGAGCGCGGAAGCCCAAGGTCATGCCACGGTTTTTGTTGCCAAGTTTTTTGGTCGTGCTGGACTCATGTCCTTCATTTCCGCCGTCCCGGAATCTCAGCGTCCGGGTATGTTTTTTTTTTTTTTTTTCTCGCATTTCTCGGATTGTTTGTTGGGTTTGGTTTGGATGTTATGCTGAATTGTTTGTAATCTGTGTGGTTGTAGCGTTGTTTCAATCTTTACTGTTCGAGGCGTGCGGGAGGACGGTGAATCCGGTGAACGGCGCGGTTGGGCTTTTGTGGAACGGGAACTGGCACGTGTGTCAGGCGGCGATGGAGACTGTCCTGCGTGGCGGCACTCTGCGGCCGATACCGGAGTTCATGGCCCCTGCAGCGGCTCCCGACGAAGCCTCCGAAGCCACATGTAAGGATATTTTGAAGCTTCAAGAGACGACGAATCTGAACTCCAACTGCCGATTCACCAATTCGAGATCTAAAGTCTCGCCAAAGCGGAAGAGGGCGGAGGATCAGTTTAACAAACCTCCGTCATCGGATCTGGATCTCTGCCTGACCCCTACCTTCACGGGCAAGCGGGTACCTGACCGCAGGAGGCCGGCCACTCCCTCGATGAACTCCGAGGAGGAATCTGGTATCACAACCTGCTTCGATAGTGGGCTTGGAGATCAGTACGGCCGCGGAAACGGAGGAGGAGCAGCCGGGAAACTGTTACTGAACCTGTTTGTTTGACGAGAAAGAGAGGTTTCTCAAATTCTCTCCCTTTTTGCCTTACTGTGAATCTTACGTTCACTCTTCCATCCAAGCTAGTCCCATGTAATATTCAATCCTTTTTTTTTTTCCCTCTTTCATTTTTGTTACGCATTTTGGGGGTCCCGGAGTATACTATTCCGGCGAGTTTTTGTAAATCACCGGCACGGGATTCCTCTCTTCCTTGGTTTATTTTAAACTGTGAAGAGAGAAAAATGAAAGTTTACCGGTGATTTTTAAATTAAAATATTCTCTCTTTTTGTTTTTTCCTGTGTGTGTGTAGCAAGACAGTATGACATGAATAAATCAGTCTGTCTTTTTTTTTCTTTCTTTTTTAATTTCCCTATATCAATTTCCTGTGAAAAATCTCTGTAATTTCTGTTATTAATAAATGATAAATATGGAGAACTCTGAGGGGATTACTTGTCAAGGTTTGCTCCCTTTTTAAGCCTCATTAACCTCAACCTTGATCCACTTTTTTGTCTGTATATATATTTGAAAGAATTATTTATTTATTTATTTTTTTTTTATTTTTTTTTTGCGATTGAGATGTAGGGCTTCCTTTCTTACTTGATATTTAGTTTTGTATTCTATATTTTTAAAGTACCATGATTTGGGGTATTTGTGTAAACAATTCTTGAGATGTGTTAGGCACACATATTAGTTACAACAATTCACAGCCGCAGGATGCATTAGCTAAGGGTGGTGGTACTCAGCCAGATATAATCTTGTATACTGTTTCGTGATGCTTTTGCCTTTCTTTTACACTTTACCAAAATGTTATGTGTTTTGAACTAACACCATGTGCACTTCATTAATGAAACTATGTTTTCCTTTGTGTGTCAAAAATTCACAGCCTTCGGCTGAAATCTTGGATGACTTTGCCTGGTGGTAGTGCAGCGGCCAAAGTTATCCTCTCAAGATAACTACATATTATATGCTTATGTGGTGGTTAATTTAGATCATTGTCTCAGGTTGAATTTTTTAAGTTGCCAACAGTATTTTAGATTACAATCAAGAACTTAATCAAATTAATACAGTATTTTAGATTACAAGCAGGAACTTAATCAAATTAATACTTATTAATTTAAAGTAAATATCAAAAATTCTAAATTCAATACTATCAAATAATTAATTTTTTAATACATATATACACACACCATAAAAATAATGTTTTAAGTTAAATATGATATAAAAATTCATTTTACAATGTAAATTATTTTAAATTATAAAATATTAATCATTTAATAAAAAATTTATATATTTAAAAACTTTCATTTTATTAAAAATCACATATTTTATAATTTAAAATAATTTAAATTATAAAATAACACACCCATATAATATTGTACTCTTTGTTCAATAAAGTCGATCTCAAATTATTAATTTAGTCCATAGCTATAATAATTGACTCAATCCAAGGCATCCAATGTGTTTTAAAACTCAAGAACCTTTATCATATATATCTATCCGGGATCATGTGTATACCGGGGAATCCAATATCTTCTTAAGCATTTCAATGGTCCGAGTCTAGTCATTCCAGAATTCGATTGAAACTTTGACCTGCTCTAATCCGAAAACGTCATTGTGTTTTAATAATTATCTCGTCTTTTATTTTTTTATATTAAAATTTAGAAATACGAGTTTAAATTTCATTATCAATATTT